GGGGTGTGTTGGAATTTTTCATAGGATAGAGGGCGCTGTTGCGCCAAAGGAATTCTGTTTTTTTTTTTACATTATGTAACTGTAGTTCGCCATTGCGATGTATGTGTATTGCTGTGATATATTTTGGTGTTTTCATTAAATATAAATGAAAGATATCGTCATGAATATTTTGTATCCAAATCAAGATCAAATTTACCACTGATGCAAACTCGTTTAAACAAAATATAGTTCGAACAAGAATAGTCAAGTTATTACTAGCCTTTCGAACTACGCGTTAGTATCGTTAATCGCTTCGTAACATATGGACTGAGACAGGCAGACAGAAACCGGAATAACAAAATAACTGAAATCATGTGCAAACAAGGATATATTGAAGGAAGGGCTGATCCCTGTTCCTTCTCATTAAACAAGTAAATTAAAGAAATTATATAACCGCATATGTTGAGGCATATTAGTTGTAAGTGATAGGTATGAATCAATTCAAGATGTTAAACAAATTCTCAAAGAATATACCGACATTCAAAATCTTGAAAAAGTACCCACAGATCTAGGAATCGAAATTAAAAGAAAAACATTCGCTCTGAAATCGGGCTTCGCAATATCTGGCAACCTTTGCTCTGTGAGACGGCCACTAATTTGTTTCTGTCTCCTTCCTGGGGAATGGTCTTAACTTCCAAGCAATGGGATGTTCTGCTGACCCTTCGCATGTGGTTTTTATCATCACAACTCCAGCACTTTAGGATAGGTTTGTTAGCACGCCTATTCCACCACAAGGCATTGATTTCCCTGGTTAAACAGTCTAGATGATCAGTTTTGCCACTGGCTTCTGAACTTCAGACGCTTTGATGGGTGGCGGTCACTACAAGTTACCTTCTGGGCGGTCTCAAATTTTATGGCACTAAAGTGCTCTTTAGATCCCTGATGCCATTGAAGACCCTCAAGTAATTATGGAGAAGTCATTATATCCACAAAGAGTGATTGTATAGTGTGACATTTGGGCAGAGGCTGCATCTGGGCCGTACATCTTTGAAGATACCATCGGAAATGCATTAAGAGTGAACAGTGAATGGAACCCAAATCTGTTAAGAGAGCTTTTGTGGTTTGAACTGGATTGTATGAATGCAGATCTTGTGATCTGACAACATGTAATTTCTTCCTGTGAGAGTATTTGAAATCTGTACGCCATGATGCCACAATATTTTCGGACCTTAAGGCTTAAAAATTAAGGAAAATTTCATTGAAAGAACAAAAGTGTGTATGCAGAGATGTGAAGATCATTTGAATAATGTACTTCATAGTCACTAGAAAAGTTGCTCAAAGTTTTCCTCCAGCAGGAGAAAATTAGCTGAAAGCTGTGGAGAAATAAAATATCATTTTGGTTGGGATGACTTATTAGTAGATATATATGACAGAGAAAAGCTACTTGTGAAAAATGTCTTGTCATACAATTATTATCATGACTTATTTGCACTTTATGATAACCTTGAGACTCAAATATAAGCTCTTAAATCTCTAGGCATTACCACAGACAAAAGTGCTGCTTTACTTTATCTTTTAGTTGAATAATGCATGCTTGAAGATTTTCTTAAAGCTTGGCAAAGAAGCCCAAATACTGACCAGGGCAGCGATCTGAATGACTGACTCGACAGTTTACTAAAATTCTTGAAATCTGAAGTTGAGTCTGAACAGCAGATAAATTTAGTAGTGGATGGATTTGGACTTCGAAAAGGAGTTTCAATTAAAGGGAAAAACTGTAAGAAAATTCACAAGCAATCTCATACAGCTGCTAGCTTGTGAAAATTCACACGGAAAGCTATGTACGTTTTGTAATGGTAAACATGATTGTTTGAACTGCTTCAAAGTGCCAAAAATGGCCCAAGTAGATAAACAAAAATTTTGAAGGAGAAAAGATGCTGTTTCAAATGTTTCAGAGTAGGACATTGTTTGGACAAATGCTAAAATTTTGTGAGATGTACTGCTTGTAACAAGGTTCATTGTGTAATGATGTGTACTATACAGCCTAATTATAAAATAGCAATAGTAAAATCTACCTCCAATACAAACGATAAAACAGATAGAAAAGATAAGTCAATTAATCTGTTTACTTTTTCTAATTCACCTTAAGTTGCAGACTTTACAGTTAAATTTGGTTGGGAAAGTTCGGGTTTCAAATTATTGCATCAACAAAAATTATTCACTCTTCAGAGGATCTACAACTGGTGAAAAACTTACATAATGTATATAAAATTGAACTAGGTAATTCAGACAGTAAATTTTTCTGCAATTTCAATCTTTCTGACCAATATGACATATATAATACTCTTCAATAAAAAAGAAATGGATAGCCGAATTAAAATCTTTGAACACTGCAATCACTGTCACCGATGACAAAAAACCATCCAACTGATGTTTTAATTGGCATCAACGTGTTGGGGAGGCGAGGTTCTTCATAGGAAAAAGACGGATTTTATCTTGTAGACCAGTTGCTACAGAAACATATTTAGGATGGATATTGATAGAGAAGACAAGTTCACCCATTTTTGCTCAAGATACTACAGCAATAATCATATCAATATTCATGAAGGAAGCCACTATCTCCAATGTTTTTATGAGGGTAAGTTGAAAAATAAGTTTCCCCTGTCGACTGTGGTCAGAGTTGTGTATGAAAGTCAAAAAATAGAATGAGACATTAAAGATATGACATACCTTTTTTTTTTCCACATAGGTACCAAGTACATTGAGACACTTGTCATATCGCTTGATAAGCTTCAAAAAGCCCTCAAGGAAAAAATCAGTGCTTTGCATATGGAAGAAGTAAAGTTGTGAAATTTATTCAACATGGATATTTTACATCAGTCACGTATAAGAAATTGAACACATTAAAAACATATGTTGATAATGAGGGCCTTCTTCGATTGAAGACAAGGATCACTTTCAGGAAAGATTTCTTAGATTTTTGGAATCCCATTATTTTGCCTCCAGATCATGGAACTGTTAAACAATTGATAATAACCAAACATTCTAAAAATCATCCTGCTGGATCCTAGATTTTGTTCATTATATTAAGGGAGCATTATTGGATTCTAAACATGAGAAAAACTATAAGGTCAGTTAGTATATCCAAATGCATTACTGCATAACACATGGCAAATGGAACATGACTTCTATAAGTCCTTTCTTCCCATAAAACAGGGTAAAGGATTCTGCTGTTCTGGAAAGGTCAGGTTTGACATGACCTTTGTATTTAAAGGAAGGAAGCAAATATTTGATTTGTATTCACACATGTGCAGTCTATCGTATGGTATTTTTTTACTGATAAACTGACACTTCAGACTTTGATAAAACTGGTGAAAATTCCCTCAACAAATGGCTAAAGTATCAACAAAAATTTATCAAGGATGTTAGAAAAAGTTTTAGGCCTGAATGTTTAAGACATTTAAATCAAAGAAATAAGCATGAGAAATATAGTAAAAAAAATCAGACTCTGACATTGTGCTGACTGCAAATGATGGTACAAAATGTGTTGAATGGCCAATGGGTCCTGTAATGCAGTTGCTTCCTGGTAGAGATAAGATAACACGTCTAGTTTCCTTCAAGACAAGGTCTAAGCAAGGTTCTTAAGGCCAATGCAGACAATAAGACAAGGTTCTTAAGGCCAATGCAGACAATATTTCCACTTGAAGTCTGTTTGGTAGTACTTGAAAACCTGGTAACAAATGGAGGAACTGAAGACATGAATGAAGAAAATCCTGGTGGACCAAAGATTTACCTGCCTGATATGAAGAAGCTTACAACCAAAAGTGGCAGAACAATAAAGGCCTCCCAGAGACTGGACTTATAAAAACTTTAAAACTTTAATATGTTCCATTTGGGTTAAGCTGCCTCCTGATAAATTAAGTTGGAAGGATGTCACATCTAAAGTTTTACTAACTCCATGTTCAATGATTTTATTTTTCTAGTGGATTTTCACTGAGTTTGGAACTGGTAATGTGTGTAAATTTTACTTTTTTATGCTATGTAAACAATTAAAGATAAGAATTCCTTTCGGTGTAGAAAAGTTTTTTTAAAATTAAATATGTTAATTATTCCCTTTGCCAAATTGTACAAATACTGGTAACATATTTTACTCCCTGTGTTAATACTGTTATTGGTCCCAATGCAATTTACTAGCCAGCAGATATTTGATAGTGGCATGCAGAAAGCTCAATTAGTGGAAATACAAGTTACATTTACATGGTGCCAACTTTTTTTAGTTGAGTATTATATTCTCCAATCAAAAGGGGGTATATATATTTTTTTTCTTTGCTGGTGGTCCGGATTTTGTGCTATATTATACTTACAAACATTAGCAAAATGAAGCAAAGTGACATGAAAAAAAATGCTTGAAAACCGATCAAAAAGGTTTATGTGATGAATAAAACAAAGTCTTTTATTGTCTTAAAAGCAAATCTCATAAATTATCAACACTTTAAAAAATTTAAACATCTTTTCTCTCAATCTACACACACTCACAGATAAATATGTATTTATAAATCAGCATTTTAAAATAACTTCAACTCAGTAACTTAACTTTCTATTACAGTAGTTTCTCATATTATGTTCAATCATACACTTACAGATTTATTTTTAATATGACTTTGTTATATTGATTTGAAATTGCAGTAAATAAATAAATGCATTGGTATTTTTAGAATAATCTAAAAATTATCTATACAAGATTTTGACTTTGAGCATGCCAAAGAATTTCAAACCATTTTGATTAGAAATAAAAATTAAAAAACTTTTTCTTTCATATCAGTTAAAGTACACTGTTAGCCTATTCTCTTTCATCTCATAACGAACATATACAGTGCACAGCATAATAGTATGTTAAATATAAAACTTATTTATAAAAGAAATATATTTTAGGTATTTATGAGCAAATCAAAACCAAGCGCAATAATCACAGAAAACACCTAAAAACAGAGACGTCAATTTAATAAACATTAATTTACACTTACTGCAAGAAAAACTTTTCATCTATGGGCAATGCCTGAATGTTGCATGCAATCTGCTGTGAAAGGGCTTCAGCTGGTATGAGATGCTTCTGCTCTGTGCAGATGCTAGGATCAGGATGGGAAGGCCAGTCTCTGATGACCAATGACATTTCCTCTGTATGCCTGTTGCCAATACGAAGTTTATCTGAACCAATAACATCAAGTTTAGAACTACCATTTTCTGTAGGTAGGCTAAAGGAAATATCAAAATTAATGATATTAAAAGCTCAGATTCCAGTAATAAATTAAATACATGTTTAAGTTTCAGAATAAATAATAGTATTATTCATATTAACTTGTGGGATTTTACCTTGCCCCCACATTTCTTCACCATCGACGCTGATGCCACATCCTAATTTTCCCCACTAGCACATATGTGTTAAGAATCTCGACTCTGCAGGACTGTCAAAAACAATTCTTCCCTACTGTTACACACACTGTTCGCTACTGAGATTAATGTTATTCTTACGCTATATGTATTTTGATTTATTAAAAGAATTGATTCTTTGCAAATTGGTGTTTAATAATCATCTAAAATCCCAAACTAGTGACTCTGGATATGAGATGAATGTATTTTTAATAGATCGAACATGTCTATAAACGGTGATACTAGTGTTTGAATGCAAGCATCTGAAATTAACAGAATTTCTGTTAAAGTGCCACCTTTCTGAAAAGACAATCCAAGTATATGGTTTCAACAAATTGAAAGCCAGTTTATTAATAATAAGATAACTGCCGATGTCACAAAATATCACATCATTGTGGGCCACAATCGTGACCAACATCTAACGTCACGTATGAGATATAATTGATTCTCCTCCAGTCGTTGATGCATATGACACTCTTAAAAAAAGATTAACTGAAGTTTTTTCAGACTTTGTAAAACAAAAAATAAACTTTTGAGAGATATCAATTTAGGTGACAAACAGCCATCTATTTTACTCTCACAAAATACACAAAAATCAGAAGAGGCCTCTACTGGCCTCTTCTGATATCAAACTTAAAAAATTAGCAGCTAGGGCTGACAAAATCTCTGACACCCTGTGTTAGTCCCAACTCCTGTTCAACTTCATGCCATGGTAGTCAAATTGAAAGTAACTAATTCTACTGATGCAAATGATGCTTTGAATAATTTGAAGAAACAAGTATTTGATTTAAAATTTTAAAAAAAAGTAGATAAACTTTTTGCATTGTATTCTCGTGTTTGATCTCACTCTCGAGGTCATTTTAATTCTAGATCTAGATTCTTGCCAACAAATAACCAAAACCAAAAAGCATCTGTGTGTTGCTCTCGTGTAATTTTCTCTATGCATTTCATAGCATATGATTTAAAAACTTCCGATTGATGGTAATAACATAAAATGTATACACAAATAGGAAATTATTTTCTGCGCGTAAAAAGAATATTAATGAAATTGGTAAGTCCTTTGAAATACATTTTATAATATTACTGAATCTTTAATTTGCTGTGCCTATCATTTAAGCCATCTCTTCAAAATCATTAAACAATGCTGTGATGATTTTCTAGAAAGTATGCAAAATTTAAAAACAGTGGCACAGCTAGGAGTGTCAAGGGGCCCCAGGCACAGCATCCAGGGAGCGCTAAATTGATGTTACGAAATTTTTGAAAAAATGTTTTTCATTCACTCTGTTGGGCGTATTTGATCTGCTAGGCACATCTCAAGCACTTTTGTTTGCCCTGCCTCCTTCAAACATCATCACGCCTTCTCCATCAGTAAGTTTTCCCTCTTCTAGTGCCTCTGTCAGTCATTTTGTGAAAAAGCCATTAAATGGGACAACCCATGCAATTTTGAATCAGAAAACTAGAAGTCTAAGCATGTGTGGTGATGAACACCCACAGGCAAAGTAATTGTTGCATCCTTGTATACAAAAAAACTTTTAAGAACACTTTTTTTTTTTTTTTTTTTTTGTCAACACAGGAGCTGATTTGTATGCCTTGCCTCCTACTCCATAAGACCATTTAAAACCAACATCCTACTGAATTTAGTTGCAGAAAATGGTATAAAAATAGATGTCTACAAAAAACATTTAGTAAATTTAGACATAGGTCTTTGCCAAATTTTTCCATGGACTTTTTTTATTGCTAATGTCTCGGAAAATATTTTGGGCGCAGTTTTTTTTTAGTAATTACGGCATTGTTGTAAATTTGAAATCCAAAAAAAATTAATTGACAGCATGACTAACGTTATGTCAGATGGCAAGATATCCTAAGATATTGTACCTAAAATGACAGTTTTATAACCATTACATGTACAGGGGTTGGACAAAAATATGGAAACAACCTCCTAAAATGCATGTTTGAACTGAAATGTTTATTCTTGCAAGGCTGTTGGTGGTGCTGATCTGTTTGCTCACTAACACTGTCAGTACAACATACTCAATGCGTTGCAAGTGTTATTTGCTATCGGGACAATGTTCTGAGAAATTGTGGGTGCATCATGTCGGAGCTAAATGAATTCGTCATGGGCAAATCTTTGCAGCTCATATGGTGGGTGCTTCCATAACCAATGTAGCTGAAGTGTTTGGTGCTTCAGAAAGCACAGTATACAAGATTTTTAAGTATACAGGAATCGCATCCGATAAATCACAGTGTGGTTGAAAATGTGTGTTGAGAGATCATGACAAATGATCTCTCAACAATAAAGAAAACTGAGATGCAAAATAAGAGGACTACAGCCACAAAAGTGACTGCTGAACCGAACATTGTACTTGCAAACCCTTTCAGCACCAAAACCGTATGAAGGAAGCTCCAGAAGCAGGGTACTTTTGGGCGAGCTGCAATTCAAAAGCCACTCATCAGTGATCAAAATGCCAGTAAGAAGAGAAAGTAGAGCCAAAATCATAAAACCTGGACTGTAGAGCAATGGAAGACTGTCATTTGGTCGGATGAGTCTTGTTTTGACAGTTTATGAATTCTGGGTGAGTTTACATCTGGTGAATGCCATCCCAAGCATATGATAAGACACATTTGCTGTCAAGAATGAAACATGGTGGGGGTTTGGTCGTGGTTTTGGCAGCCATATCGTTATATTCCACGAGACCCATTATAACTGAGCAAGGTCACATTCCTGTCAAGGATTTTGTGATCATTTTGACTTATGATGCCCACCCCACGGTATAAATTTTGTTCCCCAATGGTGATGCTGTATTCCAAGAGATGACAGAACTCCTGTTCACTCTCCTCATCCAGGACTGGTTTTCTGAGCATGAGGGTGAACTTTCACCTCTACCATTTCACATATAGTCACCGGATATCAATATTATTGAGCCTTTGTGGTTTATTTTGGAAAAAAATCTTCTTGAGCGCTATCCACCATTTTCGTCAACTGAATTTGTCAACGTTTTACAAGAAAAATAGTCTACAAGACCCTTGCAAAGCATACAAGACTTTTGTTCATCCATTCCGAGAAAACTGCAGGCTGTTTCGAATGCCATATTAGTCGCAGCAATGTGTTCTTATTTTGGCGTTTCCATATTTTTTTCCAACCTCTATATTTAATGATTTACTTAGAAAATAAGATTCTCTCTTTCAAGATGTTTCAAAACTGCCTCTGGATAAGAATGTACGGGGGGAAGGGGTTATTTACATACATAATTGACACTAAAGGTTCTCCCATAGCGGCTAGGGCTAGAAGCCTAGTGCCTGACAAATTGGTTGCTGCAAAAGCTAAATTCCCTTATTAAGTGCAAAAAGGCATTTGTAGTCCTTCTAAAAGTAGCTGGAGTAATCCTCTGTATGCCGAAAAAAAATCAAATGTGTCCTGGCCACCTTGTGGGGACTACCGCAAATTAAATTCAATCACTAATCCAGATAACTATCCAGTTAGATATCTACATGATTTTACATTCAATTTAAACAATAAAACTCTTTTCTCAACATCAGATCTCAAGAAAGCACACTGCCAGGTGTCAATGAATAAAGAAGACATAACCAAAACGGCAATAGTTACTCCTTTTAGGTTATTTGAATTTAACTACATGGTTAACGTAATGTTGCGCAAACCATGCAAAGATTACTAGATCAAATATTTTGCAGATTTAAATTTCTGTTTGATATATATATATATATATATATGCAATGGCTTTGTGGTTCAATAAAGCACCATTTAACAAGACAAAACTAACATTTATTAAAATGACATTCAAAGCATGATATTAAATTCAGAGTAATACATCTCTGCTACAGCATAGCAAAATCTAGTACCTTCCTTTTCCAAGGCTAACATGCAACTCTTCCAAAATACAGTAACCCTTCTTGGAAAAAAGGCTAAGTCCACCAAAGGCGCTTTGTTGATCACCAAACAGTTGCCAGATACTACACCCCTGTCGTAAGATTGTTGTTGATGCTGTTTACAAATCAATCATCAATCTGAAAACTAAAATCTAGCAACCGTTTGCGATCAATGCGAAAAAGAAAAAAAAATCTACATTTACATTTAAACATTCTACCTAATATTCAAATCTCAAATACTATAAATATTTGCAATGCAATACCTACAATTACACATCAATTTATTATATAAACATAGATAACACATTTTTCTTAACTTCACCCACTGGTTCCAAATATTATTATTCTTATAACAATTTCTTAATTTTTAACCAGAGAAAAGAAGTTGATATTTTTTTTTATATAAACATGTTAAAATATACCCATCTAGTATTATTCCAATTATGAAAGTATGTAAAATTTAGCTTCTTACTTTTACATATGAAGATTATCAATAAAACATTATCAAAATTTTTCTATTCAGATTACTTAAATAAGTACATAATTCTATTCTTTTCATTTACGTGGAATAAAAAGAGATTTTTTTTTATTACACAGAAAGTCGTTTCCTCTAAAACAGACTATATTAGAGTTTTCTTGAATTAATGATGTTGCAACACAGTTCTTCTCTTTAGAAAAAAGAATCTAAATTTACCACTTACCTCAAATATCCATTATCCAATAAATTTTTTCCTTCTATTTCCAATCACATAAATATCTTATTTGCACAAAATTGTAAAATTACTAAGAAAATTAAAGAAAACTATCTAATCATTTAATTATATAAAATATAATTAGATACATCAACAGTAAGTTGGGGAGTCTGAATAATGCATCGGCATTCAACAACTTTTTTTTCCAAGGCAATGTTCTATTTCTAGATTGTATTTCTGAAATGCTA